ATTTAATTAAAAATATATAAATTGTTATATCAATGAGAAAAAAATAATCATAAAAGTGTGAGTGGATTTTTTTTTTTTACCATAAACTCCATTGTGTGAGAACAATAGAAAAAAAGCTTGAACTCTAATGTAAATTAGAAATGTATGTATGTTCAAAATGCCAGGGCATGTAAGCCTTTTCCCATTGCTAGACACATAGAGAAAAAAAAAGCTTAAGATTTGTGTCAGCTTACTGGTGCCATTTTGTTTGACTTTGTTGGCAGTGTTATTTCAGTATGATTGACATACTATTATAGTTTTTATTAATATTTTGTAATTTAGAATTTTTGTATTATATTTTCTATTTTCATTTAAATTTTAGTTAAAGTTTCAAGTAATGATTTTATTTTTATGGTTATAGTTTTAGTTAACTATAATTGAACTGTGGCAGTTAATATTATATGTTTCTTTCCCAACAAAACTGTTGTTCTGGTACACACTGGTACCAGCTACTGTTATGCTTAGCTTTTACCCACATTGAATGACAATTTAGCATTATTTAATTGCTTTTTACAAACAATGCAGTTCTTCTACCCTGAATCGCTGAGGTTTAAAAACCAAAAAATTCCAAGAAAACATGTTGGATGACTAGTCGATCAATGTAACCCATCCCAATTCATACGGCTCAGAACCGGTTTCAGATTGGGAACCAGCACTGGCACCCACTGTAAAATAGACTTTAACGCAATCCTTAGTTCGTCTAAACTCCATTTGAATGTAATCAAGAACTGCAGTGGCGGAGCACAAGAGAAATCACTCAGTGAAGTTGCCGTGTCCTCGGCGCGAGCGGTTGAAGAGGCTTTTAGAGTAAGTGGCTGGCAGGGATGTGCTGGGAGTTGCCCGTGTTTGATTGTGTAAGGGAGAAAGATGAATGCTAATGTGATTACTGCATCACGGCCGGGTATGAAAATTGATAGGTATGTTTTTTTGGCAACAAAAATGAATCAGGTATCTCTATAAGTAATGAAATAATACGCCTGGAAAATTCCAACAGCTCTTTCTGCAGTTGACAGCGCAGCCTGGACAGTGTGACTTCTTTATTTGTTTTTGTAGAAGATACGCAGCCTCTCATGCTTGTGGTTTAGATCTGCAGTATCTATGGTGAACATGTAAACAAACATGAAGCTTTGCGTCGCAGCTCTCGGACTGAACTGCCCTTCACAGATCCGGGGCTGCACTGCTAAACATGCCTCGCAGAACGCTTGTCATTTACAAGCTAGTAAAGGACAACTGGAGCCTTACATAGCAGCTGCACGGTGAACTGGCACAAGGTGGTATTTACGAAGGAGGCTTCCAATGTCCTCCTGTAGAAGAGATGCTCCTCAGATGACTGGACATCTGCCAGAGACACTCTACGCTCCAAATGACCTTATCGGGTTGGAATTAAGAGTCACCTTTAAGGAGGTTGTTTTGCGAAATCATGAAGGTTGATAGAGAGACGACTGCAAATGCTTGTTCTTATTTAGCATTTATGCAATGTTTTTTGTCATTTCAATGAATATTTTGGGTTCAGTACAAGTTAACGTCTACAGCATTTATGGTGAAATGTTGACACATTTAGAATTCGTTTTTAATTATTTTAATAATTCATTCAATATTCAATATTTTGACATTTTTTTGGGTGGCATACAGTAGAAAAGTCAGGGTCACACAACTGTACTTTTATAATAAAGAAAGACGTTTCATTAAAAGAAAGTCATGTGGTGCAGCCAGCATCCAGAAACATAAAAGCAGGAAATAATATCATAGAGAAGATCCCCGCGGACCCTCTTGACTGTGTATGAAGTTCAGTAAGTCTCCTAAAAAATACAATAATTTGACCTTTTTATGACATGGAAAGTTTAGCTCTGGTTGTAATGTACACCCCAAAACCTTAACTGTGTTTTATCTGATTTGGGCATGTGTGTTAACAATATTTTCCATCAATCTCTTTATTAAATTTTGAACATGAAATAAGAACAAACAAAATTCCCCTCCACATACAAAAAATACAAAAACATAAACACCTTAACGATATTTTCAAAAGATACTTTTTTTCTTTATTGTGAACTGAAAATAATTTACAGGTACACCGTATTACATTTATAATGGAAGTATCATCAAATTACCATTTAAATATCAATGTCAATTTTTATATATCACCATTCAAAACAAGATGAGTTTACCAAAAAATAATAATAAAATAAAATGAGAAATAAGAATGAATAGACAAAGGTAAACACTAATACATATAAATACAGATAAACATCACAGTGAAATTAAATTTAAAAACTTTAAATGCACAGTGATTCAAAAGTATAGCCATTTTTCAAGACTTATGAGAAAGAAAGAAAGAAAAATAAATAAATTCTGTCATTATATTTACACCCCCTCATGTCCCTTCAGATCACTGACTCCATAGACTGTAAGTGCATTAGCGTAACTGCGGATTGATGAGCTGAAATTACTGTTAATCGACATTATTATGCCACAAATACTGTTGAAAGAATTGTATTGAACCCGGAACACTCTTTTAATGATACACTGCTAATACCTTATGACTTCATGACTTTGTCAATTGGTAAAGGAAGTCATGTTGAAGTAGAGACAGAAGCCACTAATGAGTTTGTGGATTTTAGGAGGAAATACATCCCTGAAAGAACAATGAGTTGTGGAGGGTTGAAACACTCAGACGCAAACCGCAAAGAAATAACAAGCCGTGGATGGAGCTATCTTCACCCGCCGTCCCAATGGCAAACATAATGAGCTACAACGTTGACATCCACATAACTCTGTTGCGTTTGTAATTCTCTCTCAGCACCTCTGCTGCTGTTAGTGGATATCTTCAGCGCATTCCCCTGTAATCCGCTCATGCGGCACGACAGACAGTGCATTTTCTCATAGGGAGATTGTATGGCGTTGTGTAACACCGATAGCTTTGTTTGGTTGGTAAACACACCACTGAAAACTGCAGTAACCACCAGATAGGCCAAACCTAATTAGAGACGGTTCATTCCCCACCATGCCAGATGGTAATGGCTGATTTTCCAAAAATGAGTGAGGCAACTTTTAGTTGAGACATTTAAAAAAAGAACAGATGGGTTTTTATCTATCGCATCCACGTGAGCTCATTATTGCAGCCAGGAATACAGGGTTCTTTTGCGGCTCTTTATAATTAGTGAGAACACTGACACTTGCGCTAAGGGAGGATCTGTGATGCCAGTTCATTGTGGATGCAGAGATTGGAAACAAGTAGACATTAGAACAATGGTTTAATGCAACCATTTCAGTCACGCAGAGCACAAGCAAGATCTCAAGTTTCTCCCAGACAGCAATGAAACCCTAGAAGAGCAAACGGAGACTGGAAAAGGTCTGTAGTAATGGGACACGTTTCTTTTAGAATTCCAAAAGGAATCTCAAAAATGTCTCGAACAGTGCTCAGGTTTGTTCAGACTACAAAGTTTGCAATCAAAAGGCAGAGCTCTCAATGCAAACTCAGATTTGGCAAATCATCTCAGATGATTCATGTTCTTAATGTAAAAAAAAAAAAAATGGACTCATTTGTCTGTTTGAATTCATCCTCAGGAAGACAGACTTAATACTTAAAGGGTTAGTTCACCCAAAAATAATTACTCACCCTCGTGTCGTTCCAAATCTGTAAGACTTTCGTTCATCTTTAGAACACAAATGAAGATCTTTTTGATGAAATCTGAGAGATTTCTGTCCCTCCATTGTCCCTCCTCTGTCCACTTTGACCCTTCAAAAAGTTCACAAAGAGATCTTAAAACTAATCCATATGAGTTGAGCGGTTTAGTCCAAATTTTCTGAAGAGACATGAACGCTTTATATGATGAACAGATTGAATTTAGACTTTTGTTCACATTGAAGTCCATTACACCAAAACGTTCACATATATGCATTGATCAGTGAACATATATGTTAAACAAAAGCTCAACTGCACTTGCGTGTCACGCAAACCAAATTGGTTCACACGTATCAGGCAAGCACATTTAAGCTTCCACTTACCAAATATGATCTGATTATGCATGTGTGCATTGATCAAAGTTTATGTGGGAATAAAAACCTAAATTAAATCTGTTAGGTCATACATATAAAGCGATCGTGTCTCTTCAGGAGACGCATCAAAAATCGCTCGATTCATATGGATTACTTTCACAATGTCTTTATGAACTTTTTGAAGCTTGAATGTTTGGTGAAATGGACTTTCAGTATAGAGGGACAGAAAATGTCATTAAAAATAGATATGAGTGAAAGTCAAAATTAGGGTTTGGAAAATAATGACAGTTTTGTCGTTTTTTGGATGAACTAACCCTTTTACTGAGAACCAAGTCTCTTGAACTTTGAAAGAGCAACCTCTGAGGAGCGAAAATCAAAACAGTTGGAATTCCCACTGTTTTACCCTGAGATAATTGAATGATTTAGATAATGATTTAAACCCAGTGTTTTTAAGCTCAGAGTACCAACATTGAGAAAATGATTTATGTTTGGGATCTGCGGTGTTGTTTCGGTGCAGGTGGTAAGCGGTAATTCCCTGAGGACTGTATCTCCTGCTTCAGCACGCACGGCGTCGCAGCGAAAACTGTTGTCGGGTTGCTGTGCGCCTTCGTGGCCGGCGCGTGGAGATGTTAAGGGTGCCGTTATCAATAAATTATAGTGGTATTAAAAGCGCAGAGTTTGACTCGTGTGGAGGCTGCCCCTGTTATGAAACAGGCTTTTAGCATTTTCTCAGACACTCCGCTTGTCAGCCCAAATCTCGCTCAAGCATCCGAGAGGAAAAGACCTGAGGGGTTGAGGTGGCCGTTTAAGAGGAGAAGAGGAGGAGGCAAGGGGTGGGGGGGTTTGTCCCGAGCTTCATCTTAAAGAGCAGAAGGGGGGGGGGGGACTCATTGTCAGTCGCAGTCAGTCAGCCAGGAGGGTAAGACACTCCGCTCTCATCTCCCCAGATCTCTGTCTCCCTGTAGGTAATTACACCGTTCCGAAGGCTTATCCTGTGTGCCGAGAACAGGAAAGAAATGGAGGACTGGATCAGCTCGCTGAAATCGGTTCAGTCCAGAGAGCATTACGAGGTAAGAGCACAGTTTGAGTCGAGTTGCATCCTGCATTCTTGCATGCATGTTTGTTGTTTTTCAAGCATACTTCTTCGGAATTAGAAGCTTAATATGCATCTCTCCCACATCTCAGGTCATGTGTATTTCGGGTGTTGAATCTAGCTTTTAAACCGACCTGCTTTGGAATTTCCTCTTCTCTTCTCAGTGTTAATGAAAAAATGATGTTATCCATTTAAAATAGTTCTGGAAGAAGGGAGTTTTGCTCTATTTGTTTGCTGTTGCTAATTGTTTTGAAAAGCTATGTGAGCATCTGGCGGCTTTTAACATCTGAAACGGTTCATCGCATGCCAGTAAATGAAAGTGCAGACTGCGGCGTTGAGTGTTGACTGTATGCTCACTTTGATATGAGATGAAGATGGTTATGTAAGACTCTCAGCCCCCGTGTTCTGCAATACCACACCCAGAACTCCAGCGCTCCACTTGCACCCCCAACTGAGGGCGCAGTCGGCCTCTTAAATCACTGTCCTGTTGCATCAAGGTGCTGCTGGTAGATGCCAGTGCCGGGAGCGCAGATGTTACGGGGGGCGGGGCGGTTGTCAGGGAGAGCCGTGGTGTGGTGTTGCACGCAGGAGGGTTGCGTCTCGTACACCTGAGGCTAATTTACATGTGCCAGTCTGTGTGTTGCATGTGTGTGAGCTGAAAAGCGTAGTCTTTGTTTTAGGGGCTCTGAAAAAGTCTTATCCTGGCGCTGCCAATTTGTCTTAACTTCTCCTTTGCTAGACGGCACAGTTTAATGTGGAACATTTCTCAGGGATGCACAACTGGTATGCCTGCTCCCACGCTCGCCCCACCTTCTGTAACGTCTGTCGGGACAGCCTCTCAGGGGTCACTTCTCATGGCCTCTCCTGTGAAGGTAGGTGTTTGCCCATCTCTCTCTCTCTCTCTCTCTCTTCTCAAATCCGTATGTCGGATAATCCCTCTTCAATTATGAAGCTGCTTCGCTCAGCGCGCTGTCCATCCCCAAAGGTGTCATATTTTCATCAAAACTGCTCAGGGGTGGTCAGGGATGGTTCAGGGTTACATTAGAGTCGGTTACACTGGTCAGAACTACTTAGTGCAGAAGCACAGCTAATTGAGGAGGAGAAGAGATGCGGACGGAAACGTATTGCAATCAATACACTGACGCCGAGTATCTTTCTTTTATTAGTTTAGAATTTGCATTTCAAGGATATTATGTTTGCTGCTTATATTAAAATTCTCTACTGCTGAGGTGCTTCCACATCAATCAGAGAAAAACTCTTGTTGCTTCTCTTGTTTGAGATTTAGAGGTATGAAACACTGCCAAAACACTCCACCTGTCTACCACTTAAAGTCAACTTCAAACACCAATCACAGACTATTGTACGTCAGTAATCTTCTGACATGTTTTTGAGTACAACGTATACTCGTCAATACAAATGGATGAGTTTGGATTTTATCCATCTGGAATTCAGATTTGGATTGTAAAAAGGGGGGATGGAGCCAGGTGATTATAGAGGAATTGTTGAAAAGTAACAGGGTAGTCAGGGTTTGCCTGGTTAACTTCAGCAGTTATACCATAACTATGCCTTATGTGATCTAAAAGCATGTTTTTCGATTCATGGTAATTCAAAAATAGCTGTATATTATGATTGGAAAAATGATCAAATTGCATTAAAAATGAAACAAATATTATAAATTATTATAAAATACTATATTATAAATTGTAGAAAAAAAATCCATTCCTATATTATATTACATTACATTACTAAAAGTAAATAAACTAAAACTATTTAAAAACAATAAAACCTATATAGACATTTAAAAAACAAAAACTTATAAAAATGACAAAATCACACAACATTGAAAATTGCTATTATGCACTATTCACTGGTTCATATTATTGGTTTTATTGATTGATTGATGGATTGATATACTGCCACAAGGGGTTCTAATATAGAGTGATCAGTCAAATCTAATTCATGGCTCAGGTGACTGGCTTAAAATTTTATAATACAATACAATTTGACATTTGAGGACAAAAAAGACAAACTTTTTTGAACCAATAATAGTTCATAATATGATCATGAACACACTTTAAGTATTAAAAGTTAATCTGTAAAAAGTTATGTCACTTTTATTTATATAATGCTTTATACAATACAGATCGTTTCTAAGCAGCTTTACAGTGATAATTAGGAAAATGATTAAATGATGCAAACAGAGTTCATTTCGTCTTTAAAGCAGCTCAAACAGTGCCATTGTTCAGCTGAAGTCAGTTCAGTGTTGATTCAGTTCCGTTAAATTAGTTCATTTAATCTATAAAGCAGTTCTGAAGAAAAACAGTGATGTCATCGTCCAGCTCTGTTTAGTTCTCATCCAATAGTGACAGTGAGGTCAGATCAATAATATTGTTGAATATTAAGTGTCTCCAACTAAGCAAGCCATAGGCGACAGTGGCAAGGAACCAAAACTCCATCAGGTGACAGAATGGAGAAAAAAACCTTGGGAGAAACCAGGCTCAGTCGGGGGGCCAGTTCTCCTCTGGCCAACGCACGAACACAGTGCCAGTCAGAAATCAGATTGTGGATTGGTAGCATTCATCCAGGTCCTTTTGCTTTAGGATCGGATTCATCACGCCAGTACGGATACAAAAAAAGGAGGGAAAAAAGTTTATAAAATATGGTATAATATTGACAGTTGATAATTGATTTTTTTTTTCCCTCATAAACAATCTTGATGTTAAAGTTTGTGGCTAGTTACTTGTAAACGACCTGCAGAGGAACATGCTGGCAGGTTAAAACAATCACTAAAAATACCTCATCCAGGGTCATGCATTATGCATGCTAATGGTGTGACATCATGTGGAAAGAGAGTGCTAATTACTTTCAGAGATATGCAGATGGTGCTCATTAAACTCGGCTGACTGTCATTGGCTCTCGCAAAGCAGGAAGTAAAAATAGTAAGTTGCTCATTCACGCCTCAGTTTTAATAAGGAATTCAAGTGAAACCCACACTGCATTGTGAATAATACAAGCCTCATCATCATAGTCGTTCTAATGTTTCCTAATGTTGATTTTCCACCTAAACATGAAGATGCCATTAAGAATGACAGTTTTCTGGAGTCACATTGCATTAAGCAAAAGTGGATTTGTGCATTGTGCGTGTGGTCGCAGTGGTCTAGAGAGCGATAATTAAGGAGCACTTTCCAGTGCTGTTGTCACGCGCTTGCGTTTCCAGCAAGCAGACTCAGTCCTGTCCTGAGTATTAATTACTGTATGTGTTGCTATAGAAAGATGATCTCATTTCTTTCAACAAACCTCTCATTACTATCTTCAGGCCTGAGAGCTGTTTCTGTTCATATGGAAATTGCTTTTGTTTTGGCTGTTAACTGACAATGGCGTTAGAGTGGACTATTAAGTGAACAATCAACATTATTTATAAAAGAGATAATTCTGGTCCTGGATGCTGATTGGTCGATACAGAACTCTAGCTGTGCTAAAGTGCACAATACAGTAACAGTTATCCCTTGTAATTGGCACTTCGCTTAATAAAATAATGTTTAAATATTTCCTAATTTTTATTAAGTAGTAATCATTTTATAAAACCTAATAAGGCCATGTTGGATTGTAAATATATTCTGCTTTTAAGAAGTTCCTACTTGCAGAAATGTGAGTTTGGTCAGAAACAATAGCCTATGCGTTTGTTAAAGTGGTGGTTGATTATGATTTCACTTTTTTAACTTTAGTTAGTGTGTAATGTTGCTGTTTGAGCATAAACAACATCTGCAAAGTGACAACACTCAAAGTTCAAAGCAATGGAGATATTTTCTTTTACAGAAATTACTTTTTAAGGACTTCAACAAATGTTGTCTCTTCTACTTTGTCCGACTCCGGTTTGAACATAAAAGGCTAAAAGTTTGTGAAATGTTCAGTGCATGTCTGTGTGAGGTAATTGAAGATGCTAAGGACACAAGTTGTTGTAGCTCCGCCCTCTTTGCCGGAAGCAGCAGCTCATTTGCATTTAAGGGGACACACATAAAACGGCGTGTTTTTGCTCACCCTCAAAAAGTGACAGTTTTAACATGCTATAAAAAATATCTGTGGGGTATTTTGAGCTAAAACTTCACATACACACTCTTCTTACTGTCTTTTTGGGTTATTCAAAAATAAAGGAAACTTTTTAGCGTTAATGCTTAAAAATGAAGAGCAAATGATGCTTTAGGTGTGTTGATGATTTATGTATTTATCATTCTCACACTGCTGCAGAGAATAATGGGAAATGTAGTTGCTTTATGAACTGGCTAAATGGGTAGAATTTTTTGCTTAATCTCTAATTTTTATTAATAGTACAGTACGCAATACTGTATCCATCCAAAAAATTAAGTTGTATAGTCAACATTCACAATAAAAATTGTGATCATTCCAATATGACTTGAAGACAGCAAAAATCATGGACGATTGTTGTATATATATAGTTGTAAGCACAGATCATTACTGAAACATTACTTAATTACTTCTTAAACAGCTTATTGAATTCCAAAGTGTAGTTCATTGGTTCAAAGATATGATGATCTTTATATTCTTGTAAAATCAACACAAGTTTGTACAATTAAATGTCTAGCCCTTGGTTTCCATTTGCGGTGTTGTAGCCAAGACCATTTCATTCAAGTCTGAGTCCGGAATAGAAGAAGGTCGAGTCTGAGTCAAGAATGAGACCAAAAGAGGGTTGTGTCTGAGTTAAGACAGAGACCAGAAGAGGGTCGAGTCCAAGTCAATACCTAGATCTGAAGATGGTCAAGACCGAGACAAGGCCCAGACCAGAAAAGTGTCAAGACTTAGTCAAGCCTGAGACCAGAAAAGTTTTTATTCTGATTCAAGACAGTGAGGGTCAAGGGTCAGACCTGAAGAGGGTCAAGTCCGAATCAAGACGAAGACCTGAAAAGGGTTGAGTCTGATTCAAGCCCAGAAAAGGGTCAAGTCCGAGTCTAGCAGAGGGTCAAGTCTGAATCAAGACAGAGTCCAAATGTTCAGAGTCCATGAGAAGACCAAGCCCATGGAAATATGGTCTTGGAATCAGACGCTATTTTAGTCTGAAGTACTACAAACTCAATCAGGGAGGCCCGACATATAGCACTGGACATTAAATTTGAAGCAGGATTACAAAGACCAGAGTTTACTGGTCAGCAGGTTAGCAGCATTTGATTTGATGTGCTGGTGTCCCAACAAGGCTTGACCATCTTTCCCACCAAGTTCTGACCAGAATGGGAATTAATGTAAGTTTACACCTGTCTTTTTACCAGGGTTCTTTCCAAGTTGAGAGACCTGAAGAGTAGAACTATCATTGCTGCTCATATTTCACTTTGATTTCCTACAGCAGCCAATCAATAAAGATTGATGTGAGACATGGGCCCCAACAAAAGAGGCAAACTCAATATTTCTCACTCTCTAATTTGACAGAGACTTCCTGTCCATTAGCAGCGCATCGTAAACAGTCTTACGTTCACTCAGCATTACTGAATTGTCTGTAAATGGTTTGCTAACAGCCCCGAAAATGACATTAGAGTCAGTTATTGGAGATTTGTTTTCAGAGCCATGTGAAATGGTCTGAGGTAAGACCAGCTCTGATTACAAGATGAGTGCGGAGCCCAAGCGAGATGAAGCGCTCTCTGATTAGCGTTATGAATCTCTGAAGAGGACGTGTGCGCTCTTGTCTCGGCGCATTAGACGTGTCTCCTCATTTATTATTGAGAGATGGCATTGCAGAAAGTGGAAATTCCCAGTGTCGGACATACCGCGAATGTTCGGCTTCCTTTCCAGTAAACAGCGCCGTTCAGCTCATATCCACTCCAATTCTGGAATACTCCAGGGAGGAAACACTTTCTGTAGTGACTGTGGCGTCCCTGCTGGCAGGGCTTGGCTGGGCTAAATGCATCTCTGCTCTGGTGTGATTAGCCATGTCATCACAAATCTGTGTAAATCCTACAGGACATTAGAAGTCCCGGCAGCATATGGAGGCGTAATGCACTCAGACACTGAGATGGGCTGATTTAACTGGATTTGAGGCTTTTTCAGGGTCTGAATCTTGGACTCTGGGCGCCAGTCAGCCCTGTTTGTACAGAACAATCCGGATCCTTAATGCGCAGGACGTGTATTCTCCGCTACTTGTAGAGACATCTGCACGGATTGCAGCATCTGTGTCAGGAAACAGCTGAGTGTACATTTTAAGTTCGTAGGAATGGAGGTGGCCACGGTAATGTGCCAGAGCGTTACATTATGGAGTACGAAGCCAGCCAGCCAATCAATCAGCCACTTAATTCTACTTCTGGAAACGACCAGATGAACAGTGCTAACTTGATTAGATCTGCAATGCAATTTAATAGAGGAAATCAACAAAGAACTGGAAGCCATTAGCTTATTGGACCTCACCCACACCGCTGGTGAGGACAGTACAGCGCCAGCGTGGTTAGGTTAAGTTTCCAGAATATAGAAGAAATCGATGCACAATTCAAAGTGCTTTCTGATGACAGATAACAAAATATCTGTTCAAGACAAAGACAAACGGTCTATTGTGTTTCCCTACTTAAGAAAGATTCCCACAGTAAACAATGCTAATAGAGATTAGAAATGTAGATTTCTAGATTGCTTTGTTATGTTATAGACCTGAAAATGTTCATGAAAAAGATGTTATTGCCAATGCTGCACAAATAATGTAACTGGCTTATTTAGAGTATTTAACGTAAGCTACCCACAGGTGAAACAGTTTAGAGGATCATGCATACATAGTGTACAGTAGGCTATGAATTAGGCTTGCTGCGGTAGTCAATAAGACCGGTGTTACACGGTGTTCGGCTATACACAGATTGCATTACTTGCCAACTTCGGCGTCGCCTCCATTGTTAAAATGCTTGATTGGCATAAATATATTAGTTTTTAGCATTTGGTTTTTCAAATACTTATTCAATGTTCTCCTCAGTTGAGCACTGTTTATTGTGCTTTTCCTGGCATCTTTTATTACCTCATATTTCTTTCTGCTGAAATGATAAAACCTTGATTGTCATATAAGCATCTCAAGGTTACTGCTGGCCAGACGTATAAGTGGTATTTCTCTCTTGCAGTGTGTAAATTCAAGGCCCACAAAAGATGCGCAGTCAGGGCCACCAACAACTGCAAATGGACAACGTTGGCCTCTATCGGGAAGGACATCATTGAGGATGAGGACGGGGTGAGTCTCGTAAAGCCTGTGGTTCAGTGAGCTAATGAATAACCTTTAAGTGAACAGAAAAAAGTCAGGTATATACAGTGCCTAGCATAAGTGAATACACCCATGCTAAAGTTGACTAAAAAGAGGAATAAAAAATCATCTTTTGGAAATTGATCTTAATGCCTTAATTAAAAAAATTAGGAAAAATCCAACCTTTAAGGGCACCAATTTTTTTTGTGAATGAATAATGCATCGTAAATAAATAAATGTTCTTCCTTAAAATACAGGGGGCATAAGTCAGGACACCTGTTAAATTCCCAAAGAGCCAGGCAGATTTTTATTTTTAAAGGCCAGTTATTTCATGGATCCAGGATACTATGTATCCTGATGAAGTTCCCTTGGCCTTTGGACTTAAAATAGCCCCGCATCATCACATACCCTTCACCATACCTAGCTGTAGAGATTGGCATGGTTTTATTTCAGTTAGCCTAATAGCTGGTTTGATTTGCATTGAGAGATGATCTTATGGAAAGTACCCCATGCCAATCTCTAGGTATGGTAAAGAGTACACAGTATGTGATGATGTGGGGCTATTTTAAGTCCAAAGGTCAAGGGAACTTTAAAAGTTAGAAAGAAAGAAAATTGGTGTCCTTAAAGGTTGGATTTTTCCTCATTTTTTTAATTAAGGCATTAAGATGAATTTCCAAAAGATGATTTTTTATTCCTCTTTTTAGTCAACTTTAGCATGGGTGAATTCACTTATGCTAAGCACTGTAAGTCTGGCGGTGTACATTTTAAATACATTTTTTTCCTATAGATTGCGATGCCACATCAATGGCTGGAAGGCAACCTGCCCGTCAGTGCCAAGTGTGCCGTTTGTGACAAAACGTGTGGCAGCGTGCTGCGCTTGCAGGACTGGCGTTGTTTGTGGTGCAAAGCCATGGTAAGAACTACATATCCCAGAATGCTTTATAACTTACTACAGAGAGCTTTTGAACTGTAAAAGCTGTCTGATTGGACAGGTGCACACGGCATGCATGGATATCTACCCCCGCAAATGTCCCCTCGGCCAGTGCAAAGTGTCCATCATCCCCCCTACCGCCCTCAACAGCATTGACTCAGACGGTAAGACTTTACTCTTCACAAGAGCCAGTTCAAGAGTGTATACACATAAATATTGATAAATAATCATTTAATGTATTAATTTAAATAATATTATTTATACAGTAGGTATACTTTATTTGATTGATAATGATTAAAATGGTTTATTCATGTTTAAAAAAATCTTTTTTAAATGTATTTATTATTATTATTATTATTTTGCTTTACTTTTTGGAGGTTATAATCTTAGTAAAATAAACTGTAAAATAAAATTAATTAATTCATTAATTAATTAAAAACAAATTAAAAACAGGTTGTTCTCTCCACTTATGTTTTTTTGTTTTGTTTTTGTTTTTTTAAGTGTGTATCTATTTATTTTTTTCGTAAATAATTTTTTGGACTAGGGTGGAAGTTTTGAGTTATGAAGTTTTCAATATTTTCATAGTACATAAAAACCTCTTATTTCAAAAGGTCAATGTCACAAAAAATGGATGGTTGCCTGATTGCGTTCTTATACATGATCCCACTCTGGATTTAGTGTATGATTATGAATCAGTGTGTGTGTGTGTGTGTGTGTGGTCCTGGTTAACCCTATGTTATGGGGACAAAATGTCCCTACTAAGATGGCAATATCCAAAATTCCTTGGCCTTGTGGGGACATTTTTTGGTCCACATGAGGGGAAAATAGCTTATAAATCATAGTGATGTTTTTTGAAAATGTAAAAATGCACCAAGTTTTCTGTGATGGGTAGGTTTAGGTGTAGGGGATAGAATATACAGTTACAGCATGAAAATTCATTATGTATATGGAATGTCCCCATAAAACATGAAACCGTGTGTGTGTGTGTGTGAGTGAAGTGGTGGGAGGAGCTCAGGTGGAGGGCTGCTATAGATGGAGCTCATTAGCTTTGCTAATTCCCAGGCTGCATGAAGAGCAATATCTTTTTCATTACACCTCTGACATCTTCAGATTTGATCATACAGATAGGATGTTTTTTTCCTTTCCTGAGAGACACTTTGTTCCTTTATTTTTCTTTCCATCTCCCCGGCATGTGTCAGGGCGGTGTGGAAAGTCACTTTCCCTCAGAGCATCTCTTCCCGACGCATGTAAACATCCGCCTCTGGTGGACCATGTGCTTGGAAAATTCAAGATGAGAGCAAACAAACGCACTCTCCCATACCCGGCTCTCTCTATCTCTTTCTGCATTATTATCCTGCTGCTGAGGATTCATACCTTGCCTATTTGCTCAGTCAGCCTGTCTCAGAGCATATGCCACTGATTTCCAGGAAATTGCACATTGCCTTTTATTGACACCTATATGAATGCTATTTAGAGCCACTTCATGCTCAATATCTTGAAGGTTTGAAAAAAGCTAAATGACTGTGTCCAAAAGCTGAAATATTCTGCTTTCTCAGGTTGTATGGGTAGAAACATGTGAATTCAGTTTTTGTGAAACATCCTGTCATCTGAGATGCCGCCTTCTGGTCAATTTTTTAAGGGGTCATAGTGTTCTTTGCTTGCAATATTGTGCCATCAACAAAAGAGCTTTAATGGCTCCTCTACCAAAACAAAACTACATTTCTATTTTTATTATACAGTGGCTGCATTTTTTTCCTGTTGGTGAACGATAAAACATTCTGACAGCTAATCAGAATCCACTTCGACTATAAATAGCTCAAGCATTTAGAGCAGCAGATGACGAAAGCACTTAAAATAAACAGAATGTTATTGTAAAATGGTGTGGAGGATAATATATAGTTATCACTAGTATTGTCATGGTACCAAAATTAGTAAAAACCCATCATGTCCTCCCATTTATTTTACCCCAGTAAAACGTATTAAATGGTTAATAAGGACACTGGACTGAATTAACGTTATCCGCGCATATGCTAAGTGTTAAGTACGCAAACTGAAATATGCTACAACATTAATAATGCAACCCCTAACATACCTGTAAATTGAAACTCACCTGCTTGAACGGGTGTCTGTCTTTAAGGTGCTTTAAGACGTTTGATATATTTCCTCCTTTCATCACAAAAATTTGATTACACAGTTTGCCAAAATGTTTTTTATTTTATTTTTGGTTATCAGTAATGTTCCCTTCATCTGCTTTAAATCCAAAGTATTTTCAAATGTGACTCCTTGCCGGGTGACCCTCTGTACTACCTGTACTTCAGAAGCTCTTGTTTAATTTTTTTTTTTTTTGGAACTGACCGAAGTACTAGTACTTTTGACACTAGTCATTGCTATAGTTATCTTTCTAGGTGTGACCAGGCTTGTCATATATGTGATTGGGCAGCTTGGTTTTCAAACACAGCCATTGATTCATTGATTTTATGAGTTTTGCAAGACATTTCCTCCTCCCCTACCACGAATGCTCGCTCTGTCTGGGTAAACTTAAATAAACAGTAAGGACACTAAAGCCTGGTTTCACAAACAGGGCTTAGATTAAGCCAGGATTAGGTTTTAGTTCAATTAGGACATTTAAGTATATTTTATAAACGTGCCTTAGAAAAACACATTACTGGTGTGATCTTGAGACAAAACAATGACATGGACATCTTTTAAGATACACTATATTGCCAAAAGTTTTGGGACATCTGCCTTTACATGCACATGAACTTTAATTACATCCCATTCTTAATCCGTAGGGTTTAATATGGAGTTGGTCCACCCTTTGCAGCTATAACAGCTTCAACTCTTCTGGGAAGGCTTTCCACAAGGTTTAGGAGTGTGTTTATGGGAATTAGAAGACTATTCTTCTAGAAGCGCATTTGTGAGGTCAGGCACTGACGTTGGACGAGAAGGCCTGGCTGGCTGTCTCCGCTCTAATTCATCCCAAAGATGTTCTATCGGGTTGAGGTTAGGACTCTGTGCAGGCCAGTCAAGTTCCTCCAAACCAAACTCACTCATCCATATCTGTATGGTCCTTGCTTTGTGCACTGGTGCGCAGTCATGTTGGAACAGGAAGGAAACTGTTCCCACAAAGTTGGGAGCATGAAATTGTCCAAAATGTCTTGGTATGCTGAAGCATTAAGAGTTCCTTTCACTGGAACTAAGGGGCCAAGCCCAACCCCTGAAAAACAACCCCACACCATAATCCCCCCTCCACCAAACTTTACACTTGGGACAATGCAGTCAGGCAAGTACCGTTCTCCTGGCAACCACCAAATCCAGACTCGTCCATTGGATTACCAGACAGAGAAGCGTGATTCGCCACTCTAGAGAACACGTCTCCACTGCTCTAGAGTCCATTGGCGGCGTGCTTTACACCACTGAATCCGACGCTTTGCATTGCACTTGGTGATGTAAGGCTTGGATACAGCTGCTCGGCCATGGAAGCCCATGGAGGTCTGTAGCTATTGACTCTGCAGAAAGTTGGCGACCCTGTGATGTAACGTGACCTACCACTTCCTGGCTGAGTTGCTGTTGTTCCCAATTGCTTCCACTTTGTTTTAAAACCATTTACCAACAGTTGATTGTGGAATATTTAGTAGTGAGGAAATTTCACGAATGGACTTATTGCACAGGTGGCAACCTATCCCGGTACCAGGCTCCTGAGAGCGACCCATTCCATCACAAATGTTTGTAGAAGCAGTCTACATGCCTAGGTGCTTAATTTTATACAACTGTGGCCATGGAAGTGATTTGAACACCTGAATTCAATATTTGGAGGGGTGTCCCAATACTTTTGGCAATATAGTGTATGTCAGAGGAAGTTGCTTTCAGTTAAAACAGCTTAAACATGCATTTTAGTCTGGGACTAGGCTTAAGCCCTATCTGAGAAACTGGAGGGAAATGTCAGACATGCACACTGCAATAAGTCGGCAAAAACCTGTAACTTGTTGTAACTTGCATGTAAATGCACCCATCAAGTACCAGTACTTTTGACAACACTAGTTATCACTAAAGTTAACGTTCTTGGTGTGAACAGGTTTTAAGTTGTTGGACAGCTTGGTTTCGGACACAGCCATTGATTCTGCAGTGGTGGTTTTCCGTTTTGCCATGTGTGAAGTCAAATATTGTGAGAACTGAGGACATTCACTATTGATCAGAACCTCAAAGCTCCTCTGTCTTTAATTGGCGGAGCACATATCGGATATAGAGATTAGTTGGGGCCAGACAGAAATGTAAGAAAATCAATGGCTGTGAAGTTTCGTCTGATCGCTTTGTGGCTCCTGTTAATTGGCTGTTAAAAATTGAAGAAGAGAATGGTGGCAGGATGGACAGATTGAAGACTGTTAAAATGCTAAAGCAGTAGACAGGGATACAGAAAGCATAAGGATGTGATGGGAAAGTAGGAGAGTCCGTCACGTGTAAGGAATCCCCCGCCTCAGTGCTAGGTGGCGAGGAGAGCTGCATCTTAATTCGCTCAGGGCTGCCTTTGGCACGTGCTTGAGCTTCGTGACTCAATTTGCCTCAGCCTGCCTCCAGGAGAGAGAGAGAGAGCGAGGGAAAAGAGAGGCAAGGCTTCTGTTAGACTCAAAGGGGTCTACTGACAGACGTCCACCCACGCGCCAATGTCCGCTCGCAGCCACACGGAGAAAACGCAAACCCACGCTCGAGGGCAACTGTCAGCATTACTAACACTCATGCATGCTTAGATCCATGTACGCAAACACAATGCAATACACACTGATGCATACAGGTACACAGAGGTGAATGCACTGTGCTTGCATGTGCACATGCAAACAATTCCTCAGACGGTTGCAATGGAGAGACAGGAATGTAAAAATCTAAAAGATGCATATGGCGAAGCTCATAAACTCATAAAGTGGGTTATTGCTCACAGCTACTGGCATGTTCAGAGACTGTTTACTGCACATGCCGCATGCGTGCACGTGATCACACCGACTGCCAGGATGTTTGGTGACAGCTCCTCATGCCCGGCTCTAATGAAGACAAAGAAATCAAAGTGCTGGATTATTTACACGCTTTGGTACACATCTTTTCCAGCGAAAACGGACTAGGCTGATGGTTTGCTTTTCCTTGTGCTGCAGCACAAAATTATTTCCACTTCTTT